TGATCCCCAGGAGAAGTCATTCTATGGTATCGTTTTATGTGTTTTTGTTATGTTTACGTTCGAACATACCGTCCTTCTGTCTCGTCACTAAATTCGCCTGTCAATCGCCTACCGTATCCACTGATTTTCAGGATGAAGCGACCGCTTCTCGTCCTTGGCACTTTTCATTCAGGTAAGTAGCTCAAGTAGGAATTATAGGTGCCGGAGAAATAGAAAAGCAAAATCAATTCTAAAAATCGAACTGTGGCAAATTTTCGCTGCCTCAAGTGGGAAACTGAAAAGTGGTGCCATATGCGCAGTCGTTTCCGCTACAGACGCTGGGGCATGTCGGGGGTTGGGTTTGGCGCGGCGTCAGCCTGTTTTCCACCAATTATTGAAGCGGGCAAGTGACTACAATTCGTAGAAATGGGATGGCGCCGCGATAAACTCAGCCCCTGACACGCTTAGCAGCGTCTGCAGCGAAAAGGGTTATAGTTGCCCTCATAAGGGAGTGTTTGTGTGGAACAAACCTCATGGTGGCCTTGGCTTTGGCTTTGTTCCAGATGAGTTCCACTGAAAACTACTCTAGGCGTGAATGGGTGACAAGGATGGAAGAGGTGCAGGCAAATTCCAAAAAGAAATGACAGTGAACAATGAGTAAAAAAGGAGTAAATGAGTAGGTAAATGAACAAGCAGATGAGAAAGCGCGTAGAACGGTCGATAAGTATCAAATGGATGAAATTATCAATCAAATAACAATGAGTACATAATTGATTAGAATAGCCGAAAAGGTAAATTATGGAATTGAATTGAAGAGTTTTCAGCTTGTCGCAGGTCACTTTGAGAGCTCTGAATGTGGAACAGAGAAGAAATGCTTCTTTACACCGGCGGGATGCGAGGTTCGTTCTCTTTCTCTATTCAGGTCAGTCCATCAAGAGTCAAGAGCATGTTCAATGCCCGGCGGCGAGCGATCCGTATAAGTCCCGCTGAAGAAGGAGTTGTATTTGCATGCTCAAGAAAATGTTTTTGGGCTGTTGACTTTGTCGATTTTTCAATGCTTTGCATGCGTTGTAACCGCTCCCCAACTCCGCCTCCCGCTCCGTGGGGTGCAAGTTTCTGGAGAAAACTTAGAGTTTTCTTCAGAAACTACGCCATTGAGCGTCTCCGGTAAAGCGGAAAAGAGATTGAAAGTTGGGTAGAATTTAGGAGAATGATAGGTAAGATAGAGGATGAGGAGTCGAGGGAGCGTCGTAGTGAAGGAACTTCTGAGGGAGAAGGGTCATATTTGCGAGCTCTTTCCCCAACTGTGAAACGTGCCCTGATCAGGGTTCACGCATCAAAGCTTCTTGTAGCATCGGCTAATCCCTGCGCTTTTTAACCCTTGAACTTCTTATAGTTACTTTTTTGGATGTTCTATGCCTCAAAGCGAGTTTAGTTCAGAGCAAGAGCAGCATTACTCTTGAATTCATCACTGCGGGGACGCCAAAGAAGCTCAGAGGACCAGTTTTTTCGACGTGGTTCCACATATCCCGCTCAAGCCATTTATGCCTTTTCATTCGACGGGTCTATTGAAGGGCATAGAGAAAGACTTGGAACAGAAAGCGCTTATGAGCATTCACGGCTTCGAAGGGGGTAGGATACGTTTATTTGGCGGGTATGTGGTTAATAACTGGTTGACGTATGAACGAAGCAAAGCTCTGTCGGAATGGAAACAGCAAAAGGCAAAGGAAAGTGCATACTGCTGGGTCGCAGGCACATCGGGCCGTGAGATGCAGCAAAGCTGAGACCCTTACGGTAAGCAACCCCATTCTCCTTTGTTTCATCCCGGCATGATGACTCTTAAGGTTCGAATCCCACGCTCAAGTAACTTAAGGTGCAGTTCGGCTTAGTGAGGGCAGCCAAGGATGTGATGACAGAAGTTACAGGGTACCTTAATGAATAGACCATGGAGGCCTTGCTCTAAAAGAAGCTAAAGAGTGCTCATTTTGGAGGTTTGCGGTTACCCATAAAGGCCTCACAAGTGTCTTGAAAATGAGACATGTTCGTTGACATGAACTACTGAAAGGGACTAGAATACGATTATTTGCTTATAATTTCCAGTTTTGCAGGATAAAGGCCAGTGCCATCATATGTTCTCCTACAACGCCAGAAGACGATGGTTGGGTTGATATGGAGATTTTCTCGTGAGTTCGGAATGCAATCACAGTTTACTCTTTACTCCTCCTTTATTCAAAGTATAAGCAACAATTTAATGGGAATCAACTGTGGGGTAGACTAGGCCTGAATTTCATCCGACATTACAAACATTGCTAGAAATACTTCCGGAGATAGCAGTCATGTCAGTTTGGTCTAGCCCCCAAAATACGAACACAACATTCTTTTGACATGAAAATACCTCGCGCGTCTACCGCTTAGCTCCATCTTCCCTTCTGAGGAAATTCGGCGACAGTTTAGTAATTTGGAATATATGGTTCCTAGAGGAATTTTTGCGTGAAAGTATTTTCTGATGGACTTGCGATCAAAGTGCAAGACGGGGGAGGGGCATTTTGCTCCGATTTCCCATCCGGCCTTCTCATCTAGCCATCAAGTGGAGATCTGTGAAGTCTTGTGAAGCCATGAAGTGACACTAGCTAGTGTATAGACCACTTTCCAATTCTTGTAAGCAATGAGCACTCCGGTGGGGAAAGCGGAAATGCAGTATGCCCCCCCCTAGCCGAGCTGCGTCTTTTTCTTTCTTCATGCCACCCGTCACCTAAATGCCACCCCTCACCTAAAAAGTCGGTTGGAATAAACGCTGTACACAGATGATGCTTAAGCTTTCAAGAATTCTATAAGACTTAAAAAAGTCAAAAGATATTCTCAAAGTCATGGTATCGCTGCAGGTCTAGTTTGCGCCACTATTAAATTTTGGATTAATGAAGCTCTTTTCGGACTCTTTACATTCTTTGAGTTGCTCACTTTCCGTCTTCCTTGCCTTCCTTCTCCATTCCTAGTTTGCGCTGAAGACACTTCCGCGATAATGGACTGGGAGCCCTTCGCACTCCTGAATACTGAGCCTTTTTCTGACTCCTAATATGATAAAGATGAGAAACACGGTATAAGTATGTAGGGCGCCATGGTTATGGGTTTCCGCCCCTTTCCCACGTAATCCAGTTGTTGCGGAATGAGTCCAAGTCACAAGCAGCTCTCTCATTGCAAATTTTCCAGCAACACTAGCGAGAAACCAGCCAATAACTACATTGCTGTTGGGTTTTCGGAGGACGAAGAAATGGTGAGGCTCTAGTTAAAGTCCAGTCTGCTGCGGATGATGGAATGTGCCAGGAGGGACGGTTTTGGCGCTACGCCAGCCCGTTTTTTTCAGTGGGCAACGAATCTCTATCATATGGCTCGTGTCAGTCGTTTTGCACCTGTTGTTGTCGCTTATCCACATCAGCAACTGATGAAGATCGTACTGGCGGCGCACAAGGCCCTACCTTCTGACACGCCCCATCATCCACCGCGGAAAACTATTGCAATCCCACCTGAATTGCATTGATGAGTTTCAGGGAAGCGACTGGGTGACGCAGTGCGTGTTTCCCAAGGAAGGAAAACCAACTGCTCATTTCAGTTATAATGTTGGCAAAAGTAACACACCAGTCTCTGATCCAATGGATATGGTCTGCTTCATTTCTTAACGTTTTATGGATTTTTGACTTCTTCAGCAATTTATCAAATTTCGAACGCTTGAAAAATTGCTGTTTTTCTAGAAAGCTGAAGAAGAAAATCTGAAGCTTGTTCATGCTCACAAAGGAGATGACGGCATGTATTGCCATATTAGGCAAAAGAGCGCCTCGGTAAG